TGGTTTCTGTTGTTCTTCCCCCTGGGGGGGTGTGTGGTTATGTGTTGATCATTGTGATCGGTTCCTCCTTCCTCCCCTCCTCTCCCTACCCTTCTGGTATCGCTATGCCCATTCCTGTCTAGATTCCATGTGTTGTGAGCTCTTGTCTCTTATCTGTACCGGTGCACATGCTCCGGTCTAGGCCGAGTGAGAGGCAGCACTGGGGTCATGTTAGCGGGGGGTGAGGAAGCCTCAAGGAACCAGAGGAATATCGTGTGTTTTATCTGTGCTTTACTGTGTCCCAGCTGACTCATCCCTTCCCTGTGACGCATGGGTGAGGGGATGTCCCACTGTCTACAGATGGGCTTTGGGTCTCATTACCGACCCCCCTTGTCCTCAACAATATGTTTTTGTTTGATTGTTTGTTTTGGGTCTTCTGATGCCTGTTACCCGGTCCCGATGTCACCTCATGATCGCACCAACAATGTATACTTGTTTAATAATTATAAGAAGAAAATAAGTGAGGACTATTACCATTTGGTAGTAGGGCAACAGTATTATCTTCATCAATGCTTGTATTATATGTTAGTGCATAGCAGGCACCTGTAAGAAAAAAAACAGGAAAAATTACAACCTGCCATTGTAATACAGAATAAATCACACAGAGGTTATGGATTATTTTCACGTGAATGTCAGTCTTGCAGGTGAGTAGCAGTCAGTATGGGTCACTGTTCCAGCCCACTCATTAAACCTAAAACCAATAAGGACAAGCCAGAAAACAAGGAAGGTTAAGTGCTAGGGCCTTCCCTCAATGCCAGCTTAGATATAAATGGCCACTATATACACTGAGGGAATTCTTGGATAAACTTGAGGGCTAGTACTGAAGCCTACAGGGAGTGCATTCAATACGGGCTTTCTGACTAGAAACAGGATTTCAGAGCAAGGAATGAGTAAGCACTAGAGATGATTGTATACCATTACCGTGGTGCAAAGATGATTGTGCACCATTACCAGAGTGCATAGATAAATCCTGGTGTGTTCTCTGGTGTGCTAAGAATAAACAGCTTGCACAGAAAGCCCTGCTTTCATTCTGTGCCAATCAGTCCCAAAGCCATCTTCAGTACTCTATCTACATACATATCTATACATGTATTTCTAACCACTAAACCACGCAAGTGGCCAGGACAAATCCCTCTCTCCCTCGAGAACCCTTAATAAATTATATATATCTTACACAATCCACTGTATCCCTTCACCCACATTTCTGTTATTTGCCCCCCTTGGGGGCTGTGTGTGTGTGTGTTATTCCAGTCTAGTTGTACTGTATTTGTGTTATAGACCTGGGGTCATTATATTGGGGGTGGGGAGGAAGCATTGAAGAACTAGAGAAATGTTGCGTGTTTCATTGGTGCCATACTGCACCTGGATGAGTTGTCCCTTCCTTGTGACCCTTCTCTGTGAGGGAATGTCCAATTGTCTACAGATGGGCTCTGGGTCTCCACTCTGACCCCGTACCTTCACATAGATATAATTGTTTGGTTTTGGTCTTGGGATACCTGATCCCATCAATACCTCATGAGGACGCAGGTTGGTGTGCTTCCTCCATGTGGACTTTGTTGCTTCCCTGCTAGTTGGCCACTTGTTTAACTTCAAGTTTTTAAGACCCTAGACACTCTTATCTTTTAATAGCAGGGCACCATCATCTTTCTTCACCACATTTGCTCATGCACCCATTTTGTCTTCAGAGATCTCCTGAAGTTGAGTATCACGCGGTGCCAGGTTATTAAAACAAAGTGTTCTTGTGTTGGAGGAATGACCTAAGTAGAAGCCTAGACTCCATCTGCTACCTTAATACTTTTAACACATTAATATATGCGCATAGACCAATACCCTTATCTTTATATATTAATGTATTTACATATGTGCATGTCTATATTTATACCTCTATATATAGCTTTTACCTCCGAGTTCTTTCCTCTCTTTCCTTTTACTTTCCTCCAGCTCCACTATGGAGCAGTGCATTAACAGAGGACAGGACTGCAGAGAGAGGCTGGGGAGGTCCTGGTCTGCCCCATTCTGACAGGAGCAAACTAAGAGGGAACAAGAAGAGGAGAGCGGAGGGGAGGCCAGAGGAGAGGACGACATTCCTGCCAATGCACAAAGAGGACTGTAGGGCCAGTCCCAGCAGGAGACACTGTCCCCTCAATGGCCCACAGTGCTACCGGGGACAACACTGGAGACACAGTGCAGGAGATGTGTCCAGTCCAATCCCCACACTGCGGGGTGAATCGTGAAGGGAACACAACAGAGCAGCAAGGGGAACAAAGTCAGGAAGTCCCTGAGGAACCCCAAAAGTAGACTTCGAGCTCGGGGGCAGTACTGGGCACCCCACCATACTGGGTTGGGGGACATTCATAAAAGTCAGCAGATAGACCTGGAACTATTTCTAGCCACCACATTTATATATGTCTATCTATAGAAGATAGGTAGCTTAAACAATCCCGAGGAGAAACCAACGGGACTGATGGTAGGGGAAGGGGAGGTGCATAGGAGAGGAGGAGGTGGGAGAAGGGAACGAGAACCCGACAAACTCAGGGACAGGGGAATAATGAGGGATCTAAAGTCTATGATGAGGAGGGTATAGAATGCCTGGTGTTGTTGATCAACTGCAATGTAGCCAAGAGGACTCACTGAGAACCGAATGAAGGGTGAACATGATAGAAGGAGAGACTTTCATCCCTGATCCCAGAAAGAATTAAGCATATGAAATCTGGGGTAGGGGGAAGGAAGGGTATGGTAAGGAAGTGGAACGAAGGCGGATTGAGCATGTGTAATATCTCAAGACTATATTTCCTAGAAATCCTTTCTACCCCAAGCAGAATTTCCTCTTCCCCCTCAAATACTTAAAAGCCTATTTTCACATGGTCCAGGAGAGGAGCACCAGGGAGCATCATGGAGGCTACTGTGGTGATTTCTCTTTCCATTCCGGGGGAGTCCCAGTACAATTTCTCTGTGCAAAAACCCCATTCTGTGCCTATCAAAGTAAATCGTTATTTTGGAAAGACAAGAAACTGAAGCCCTACTAACAGCACCCATCAGTGTCTGTCTAAGCACAATATGAGACTAAAAGCACATTTTTATTACTGTATATACTCGTGTATAAGCTGAGTTTTTCAGCACATTTTTAATGCAGTTTTTGTGGTACAATTCGGTGCCTTGGCTGATATTCAAGTCAGCTTACACTTGAGATATCGGTATGTTTTTCCCTGTTCTACTTTACTCTAAAAATTTATTAACAGAAGCTTTATTAAAAAAAAACAGTCAAGAAGGGGTTGGTCTAAAAAGATGAAATAAAGGAAACAGAAAGATAAATTCTCTTTCCTACATGTTCTAGCTCTGAGGACCCTTTTAGGCCACACTAGACAATATGTGTGTCTCTCTCTACGTTTTTCATTTTTTGCAAGCATACTACCTCTTCCTGCTTTCTGAAGAATTTTCCTGGCCACCTGTGTAGTTTAGTAGTTAGAAACATATGTAGACAGAGTACTGAAGATGGTGTTTAGACTGATCGAGGACAGAATGGCCACAAGGTTCTGTGTGCAGCTACAGCTGCCTGCAGAACAAGTACCTTTTGACTTCTGGCACGGACACAATTCTTTTTTCTTTTTTTTCCTCAAAGGTGCTGTATAAATTTATATAATTAAATTTCCAAAACAGTGCAATCATCGCTATCACAAAAGAAAGTTTCATTTGGTTTTATTTTTAAATCACACTTTGCAGATCTTAAACTTGTCTTCAGCATTTAAGTCAAAGGACTCACCATTTTTCAAAATCAATTTCCCTAAAAAAAACTCATCAGATAAAAAGTTTCTACCCAAGAAGCAAAGAAGGCCTTCATAAATCTATAGCAATCCTTTTCTCACTTCCCCTAGTCCTGAGGGCTGAGCAGCAGGGTATGGTTCAGGCAAGAGGCCCAGGGCTAATTTCCCTCAGTACAAGGCGACTGAAGCTTGATGGGAGAAAACTGCTGAAACTTGAGGGAAGAGTCAAGGCCTTCGGTCAGAATCGCTGCTGGAAAAGGAGGAAGAACACTTGCTGTGCTTGTGGTATTTGTACATCTTTTTAAGGGCTTTCTTCATTTTCTTCCGCATCCTCTTGTTCATCACCATTCCTGGTCCTACCATGCCAGGAGAAAAGGGATATATAGGAGGCAAAGCAGGGGCAAGTGGTAGGTATAGAGGAGGGTAGGAGCCAGAAAGTGGGTAGTGTCCCAGGGGATTGGCATCCCAGACATGCTGGTTGTGGTACAAGTTGAGAAGGCTAACATGGGGAAAAGCTGGAGTCCCCTGGGGAAGTCCTGGGGGAGTGGGAAAGAGGGAAAGGGGCCTGGAGGGCAGGCAGGGTTAGTAGGTAGTGGATGGAAAGGGCTGGAACTAGGGTACATGATGTTGGATGGTATGGATTTGATCCTAGCTGCCCAGCATTGGCGTTCCATGTGTTCAGGTGTTCCCTCAAGTCTTTACACCTCCTACTGGGCTTGATTCACCCTTCTTTTTGACCTCCATGGACATATTTCTCCTTCTTGATTAGAGGTTGCATCTAGCATACTGATCATTAGACAGGGATTTAGCTGGGATTAAGAGGGTGGCCATTCACGATCGCTGAAGACAATGGGTGCACAAGTAAATGTGGTGAAGAAAGCTGATGGTGCCCCGCTACCAAAAGATACAGCACCTGAAGTCGCTGAAGACAGTGGGTGCACAAGCAAATGTGGTGAAGAAAGTTGATGGTGCCCAGCTACTAAAAGATATAGCACTTGAAGTCTTAAAGACTTGAAGATAAAAAGCAGCCATCTAGCTGATAGGAGTTGTATGAACCCCTAATAAAATGATTTTTTTAAAAGAGACAAGAATGGGCACCATATAATGATTACACCAAATGAATACACCAAAGACATATAACCTTAATAAACATATACATACCCTCCCCCCAAAATCGAAAGGTAATTAGACAGGTAATTAACATAACTTTAGGTTAAAAGATATTAACAAGCAGCTCATATGAGGATAAGCAAATTGTACTCTCAGGTAGGTCACCCACCAGACGGAGGCTAATCAGTGGTTGATTCAGAAGGTGCTTAATTTTGAGGCTCAGTCCTCCAGCTGCTTTGGCTACCAAGTCAGAAACGTGGTCTTCTATAGGTAAGAAAGATGTGCCCAAAATTTTATGCCTTATAATTTTACAGCATTTTAGACATTTTGTACTTATCCATTATGGCAAACATAACCTGCCCAGCTGTCAAAATATATAGAACCTGGGGTCCCATAGGCTGGAAGATAAACAAGGGACCATCTAACTGAGAAACAACAAAGCCCACATGGAAGAAGCACACCAGCCTGTGAGATCACAAGGCATCGAGGGGATCAGGTATCAGGCATCAAAGACAAAAAAAAAAAAAATCATAGCATTGTGAATTAGGGGGAGTGCAGAGTGGGGACCCAGGGCCCATCTGGGGTAATTGTACATCCCCTTGCAGAAGGGCTGCTTTTAAAATTTAAGGAAGTATTTCAGCTCCCCTATTCTCTAAGGAGATGGTTTAATGA